CTCGCTCTCCCCTCACTCTCTTCTCTATCTATTTATATATCTCCCTCTCTCTCTCTCTCTCTCTCTATCCATCAACCTATCTACCTGTCTATCTCCCTCTCTATCTATCTGCCTATCTCCCTCTCTATCTGCCTATCTCCCTCTTCCTCTCTCTCTATCTATCTGTCTATCTCCCTATCTATCTATCTATCTCTCTACCTCTTTCTCTCTCTCTCTCTCTATCTATCTATCATCTATCTATCTATCTATCTATCTCTCTTTCTCTCTCTCTCTCTCTCTCACTTAGTCCATCTATCTATCTCTTGTGTCGTTTATCAAGGAAATTAGATAATCAAAGATTTGTTTATGACAGGCATAAATACATATAATGGGAAACAAAACAAAGGATAAAAAAGGGAGATGGCGACAGCAGAAGAAATGACAAACACACAAGTAAACAATGACGAAGCGGCCACTCCCTGCTCCCGCGAGGACGGGCAAAGGAGGCAAAGATCCGAGCGATTTGTCCGGCCTCCGTCGCGTTCCCTTACGGAGTGCTGATCCCTTCGGCGCCGGGTGATGGCAGCCATATGTCCGTCGGCCGCTCGCTGCGCCGCCGCCTCGCGTGGGAGGGATCTGCCTTCTCGAGTTTAGGGGGGGGGGAGCGGGCGTGGGAGGAAGGGAAGAATGGGAAGGAGAGAGAGAGGGGGAGAGAGGGAGAAGGGAGAGTGAGTGAGAGTAAGAATGAGCTTGATTGCGAGAGTGAGCGAGAGAACTAGATGCAGACAGATTGATAGATTTATAAATAGGTGGAGCAAGAGATAGAATATGTAACAGTAATAGTAAAATCAAATTTCTGCTCTTGTGAAACAGAATAGAAAAAACGAAAGGTTTAGCAAATATTGCCAGTGAAATAAATATCTTCCATTCCTTTCCCTCCGCGACTATAAACGATGACGCAATAATCCACCTCGACCGAGACCCTCACTCTCTCTCTCTCTCTCTCTCTCTCCTTTTTGTCTTTGTTGCAACCTGGTTCCACGCGTGTTGCAGATTGCTCTCGGAGATTCCCAATTAGCCGGAGTTAACAAGCCAGCTGCTAAGCACTTAATTACCCAGACATCTTTAGTCATTAATCCCCGCCAACGTAACGGAGATTCGCCCGCCTTGCGCAATCAGGCGATGAAGTTCGGGCGAGCGACCCGGGCTTCCGCTCGCGTCTTCTGCTTTTTTTGGTCTCTCTCCCCACCGAACCCTTTCGTTTTCACTTCCACGAGAGATACTCCATCTTTACAAAGGTTCCTCATAAAACACTCCCTAATCTTCGTGTATTTCGTCGTGATTAAGGCAAGGAAAAATCCGCAAAGGAAACTCGGCCCCGCTTCGCATTCCAGAGGCTGCGTGATATTACTTCGTGTCTCAGATAATGACGTCATCGCTTCCGCTTTATCACAGTCGGCACGCTGTTTTGAGGTTATTGATGCCGCTGTTTGATAGCGCTATGTGCTCTTGATTATGCGAAACATGTCTGACATCATCGACTCCTGCAGTTAGGGCGCTGATTTACAAATTTCGAGCGGTGATTAATAGAAGTGAGAAACTTTTTCAATCATGACGAACTTATTAAATTGAACCTCGAATGCCTCACAAATACAAGAAAAAGGGAACAAAGTTTAGCTTTATGATATATAAATATGATTATAAATAACTTTTTTTTTATATTTCGAAAACTTCTAGTTAATAAAAGAGCGGCAGAGGCTCGTATCCCCACTGCCTGACATCTGCGAAAACGTTATTATATAGGCGTCCTGGAAAGGCTAGGAGGGAGGGAGTCCTTTGGGGTACGCTACTAGGAACGAAGGGGCGGGATTGGGCAGAATTAAGAGGAAAATAGGACTGAGAGTCCCGCCCAGGACGCGAAGTGAAAACAGGTTGCGGGCTAAAAGCTTCAGGGGATACGAGCCCATTTTGATCCACGCGGAGTCAAGCTTTTTTATAGTCGGCGAGTTTCTTAGATTTTTTTTCACCCATTTTTTTAAGTCATCGGTCATCGTAGAGTGAGAGGAGAGAACTGAGAGAGAGAGAGAGAGAGAGAGAGAAGCAGAGATGTAAGAATAGTATTTTTTCAAATAATTACTGTCCCTGAACTCCTGTATTTCCAAGTACTAATAATGCACAAACACTTATAGTATTTCGAATTTCATATCTACATATGAAGAAAAAAATATTCATAATCTCTGACTTTCTTTACTTTCTCTTTTCATCCTTTTCCTTCACCTCCTTTGTTGTCTTCTCTCCCTTCGTCCGTTTCCCTTTTTTCATCTTTCTTTCATCTCCGCTTCTTCTTTCTTCTTTTCGCGTTCTTTATCCTCTCATTCCCTCCTTTCCATATTTCTTCCCTGCGCCATCTCCTTCTCCCATTTTTCTTCAGAGCAAATGACCAATTAGGGAATTTTCCCGCGCCGCAAGTGGCTCCCTTACCCACACATCGCAGACAGTGATATTTATTTACAAATAATGGCTCATAATTATCGCCTGCTCTCCTTCTTCCTCCTTCCTTTTCCCCTCGATCTCTCCCTCCCCACCCCCTCCTACCTCCTCCCTACTAACCCCAGCCCCTCCCACTCCACCCTCACACTCCCTCCCAGCAATCAGCATCTTACCCCGAACAGCAAATAGTATTCCTTAATAACCACAACAGTCATTTCAGGTGCTGGGAAGGTAAGGGGGAAAGGGGGGGGGGGTAGAGGTGGGACCGAGAGGGGTAAGACAACGACGAGAGAGAGAGAGAGAGAGAGAGAGAGAGAGAGAGAGAGAGAGGGAGAGAGAGGAGAGAGAGAGAGAGAGAGAGAGAGAAGAGAGAGAGAGAGAGAGAGAGAGAGAGAGAGAGAGAGAGAGAGACAGACAGACAGACAGACAGACATAGACAGGCAGACAGACAGACAGAGAAAAAAGAGAAAGAGAGACGAAGGACAGACAAATAAACAGACAGACAAACAGAGAAAAGAGAGAGAGGTGTGTGGGGGGGGGGGGGAGAGCAAGAAAGAGAAAGAGGGATTTCGGACAGACAGACAGAGAGACATATAAACAAACAAACATACAAATAAACAAATATACATAAACAGAGGAAGAAAGAGAGAGAGAAACTAAGGCAATTACGACACCCTGCCTATTACTGAGGAACCTTTATCATCTAACTGCTATTTCTCCCTCCCCCCCTCTCCCCCTCTCCCCCAAATCTTTGATTGGGTAAACTGATCTGTTAGGTCTCTCTCTCTCTCTCTCCTCTCTCTCTCTCTCTCCTCTCTCTCTCTCTCTCTCTCTCTCTATCTCTCTCTCTCTCTCTCTCTCTCTCTCTTTCTCTCTCTTCTCTCTCTCTCTCTTCTCTTCTCTCTCTTCTTCTCTCGTCCTCTCTCCCTCTCTCCTCTCTCTTTCTCTCTCTCTCTCTCTCTTCTCTCTCTCTCTCTCTCTCTCTCTCTCTCTCTCTCTCTCTCTCTCTCTCTCTCTCTCTCTCTCTCTCTCTTTCTTTCTTTCTCTCTCTCTCTACCTTTCTATCTATCTATCTCTGTGTCTTTCTCCTTCATTCGAGAACTGACCATTATGATTTCCCAATTCATGACATTCTTATATGAGGCAAAATAGCCCTAAACAATGTTAGCGCGAGGAAATAAGAGCGAGAACAGAAGAGAAAAAAAAAAAATAAAACAGAATAAACAAGAACTGAAATAGAAAAAAAAAATGTAGTTTAGCGACAGTGACTTTTGAATGGAAAGGAGAACGGAGCGCGAAAGCATGTATGTTTTAGCAGTTTGTTTCGCTTAAATCAACGTCTTTTCACTTTCCTTTGTTGCTGAATAGACGCGAAATTGTATCGAGCGGAGGATGTTTCCCGATGTACATACATCTTCGGAGATTTCTTTGTGTGTGTTTCTTTATAAGTTTTTTTTTGGGGGGGATATATTGGGAATGGCCTGTATTTTCCGCTGTTTAAAAGAAAATCCCTTCCATCGATAGATAACAAAAAAATATCGACTCTATTGTTCCGGCCGTATATTTGTAACTCTACGCGTATTCCCGCCATATTTCATTACTCGTGTGCCATTATATTTTTTAGTTTTTTTATTATCATTATTATTATTATGTTTGTATCGGAAATCTTTTTGTGTGAATTTCTTTCAAATGGGCACTTGATTTATCAGGAAAGTCCTGCTAATAGAAAGAAAATAACTAAAAAACTAAAAGATATCCGCTTGCATAATCGCATAACTATGTACATAACTCTACGCACATCCCCATCATGTTTCATTACTCAGGTGTCCATTTTCCCTTTCAGCATCATGAAAAATATGTTCTTGATTAATTATAAACACTGCATTTTCAGCTCTTTTACAACAAGCAAATGATTTAATCTTTAAAGCAGTTTTCTTCGATAACTGATTTGGACTAAGCCAATGTGTGAAATTTGCAACATATATATAACGACATTGACATCATATATGTATCTGTTCATATTTTCCTTTTTCATCCAAGTATTTCATGGCATCTTATTTCAAACCGCCATTATTATCCTCAATATATAAGTGTTTTTTCTTTAACTACTTACTTCAGCCGGTTTCACTGACATTATTCCTTATTTTACTTATTCGCGTATTTCAAAAATATTAAGTAGAAAATATGATTCATTTGATTGATTTGCTAAATTCCATTGTGCAATATATCAAATCGAACCGCTCACCTGATTTGGTTTTCTCTTCTCTTTCTTCCTCCCCTCCATCCCTCTTTCCCTCTCTCCTTCGCTTCTTCCTACTTTCCTCCGCCTTACTTGGCTTCCCTTCTTCCCTTGTTCTTTCCTTAATTTTAACTTCTTTTTCGTCTCTTCCCTTCTGACTTACTCTATTATTTGCCTCCTTTTACCCTTGCTTCTATCTTTGTCTCCCTAATTCCCTTCCACCTCTCGTTCCCTCCTTCACTCCTCCTTCCTTTCCTCCCTCCCTCCTTCTCTCTCTTCCTCTCTCACTCAGCCCCCGCTCGGCGCCCGGTCCAGCTTCGCAGATTCAAGCCTTGGAAAACACACTAAAGTTCCTGCAATTGCAAGAACTTGGCAAACTGTATTCCCTTAGGGCCCGACCGCG